ATCGAAGTACTTTTTGCAATCGAGCCTCGGGGAACCGTAGATCTAAGAGAAAAATCTCGGTTCCCTTGTGTTCATCGGCCAAAATTTTCAAATCGACAGTAACACGCAAGCAAAAATCAACACGAGGTAAAAGATCTCACCTTTTATTTCCTTAAAAAAATGGTACAAGAATGCTTCAAACTCTTGTTAGTATTTTTGTGTGTAAATCTCTGATAATCTATTCGTTTCAACTCGTGAAAAAAAACAATGGATGATTACATGAATTTATAGCCTAGGAAAGTCTATTTTTAGAGTCCTAATATGACTGATCTACTGTTGTTGGTTGCGTTTGTTGTGGGTGTTCTTTGCGCCGGAGAACTCGGGCTGTTGGAGTGTGTGGCCGTGAAGACCGAAGTCATGGGGTGAGGAAGAGTCCTCACAGGAAACGACGTTGGGGGTTCCTGGAAACGGCGTTGGATGAGGGTTTCTGGAAACCCTAAACTGATATGGCTTATTAGGCATTGGATCACACCTTGATCCAACGGTCAAGGTGCTTGGCGGCTAGGGCAGAAGGTGTTTAGGGTTTGTAAGCGTGTTGGGCTGCTGAGGCGTTGGGTGTAGTGTTGGACCACACATGTGGACTTATTTGTATTTGGGCATCAATTGGGCCTGAAAAGAAAAAAATGTAAATAAATATATTATATTATATAATTTATAATATAAATATATATCATATAATGTAATAACGTTTGAAGGACGGAATTTAGTGTCTTCAGAATTATTTTTGAAATCTTTTAAAACTTTGAATAAATTCAATTCAAGTCCAAAAACATTTTGCCATAAATTGTTATATCAAAATATAGTTCAACATATATTTTTTCAAAAACATGATTTTTTTCTTTAATCTCAACTATTATTATTATTTTTTGTTGCTCTCCTAATTTTTTAGAGTTTTATCCTGATCAATCTAAACCGATTTTGATGGGTAAGACATCAAAGTCAAAACATGTTTAAACAACACCAATCTACTTATTATTTGAACCAACACCACTGATCTATTTTTCACTTATTAATATTGAAGTAGTGGCACATGTGATAGTTCATATATACTTTATACTGACATAGAACTATGTCTTATATATCATGTTCATTAAAAATTAAAATATAAAAAATCTAATAAAAATATTGAAAAGATTAAAAAGTTAAATGAAATATAAAAGGACTGAGATTTCAAGTCAATAATGTTAAAATCTAATGTTTTAGTCGATATTTATATTTTAAAAATAACTCTTGGATACGGGTGCACCAACCTGGTAGGTTTCTCATCGGTTCTCATTGTTGAACTCTGGGAAGTTCTTACCGACCTCCAACTTCCATGGTCTTTAGGTCAGGAAGTTTTGCAATAAGACAATCTAATTTAATGTTAAAAAATAATATAATAGATCCAATAAAAATATTATATATTTTTTAACATTTTAGATTAGACATAACTTAAAATATTACATTTTTCTAACATTTTTTATTGAACTTAAAATTTTACAAATAAATAACATTTACAGTTGCCAACCTAAAATATTACGAAGAATATAATAATTCTTTGTTCAACCGAAAATATTAAGAAAAATATAACATTTTTTGTTACATCTATTCCACCATCTTTTAACTTTAAATTATGTTGTCGTTTCTTAGACTTTTCTGTAATAAAGATTGATCCATTAACTTTAAGCTTAGAAAATGATAAGCGGATGAGTTGATAATATTAGATATCTAAATTGACATCTCTATGATTAATTATGAAATAAAATTTGAAATTGTTTATAATATTTTTGAAAGAATTTTTTTAATGTTCTCGAGTAATGTAATAGCAATTATTCAAAGTCTATATGACTCGGTTCTCATTAAAAAAATGTCAAACAAGTTAGGACAATCCACTATAAAATATAGTATAGAATTAATAATTATGCACATTGTCTTTTATTTTATTGTTAAGTTAAATTGTGGATAGTGCTACCACGTCGTGGCTGAATAGGATATCCAATAATGAATCCAACACAATTTCTGAATTTCTTTATTTAGTTTTTCAATCACCCCCTTCCCTTAAATATCTTTTAAAGAAAATTCATCACCCTCGACGAGCACGATTGAACATCTCTAACGATAAATATTATTAATTTAATTTATAAAAATTTAAAATTCTAAAAGAATCAACGTTTAATTATAAATTAGTTAAATATCTAAAGGTAAATTATTTAAAATAAAATACTAATTAAATTATTTTTCTATAATTATTGGGTAAATTATACCACTGACTGCCTAATTATTATCCCTTTTCATTTTGACCTCTATTTTTAAATTTTTTTCTATTAGGTCATCAAACTATTTAAATGCATTCAATCAAGCCACTTGTCGTTAACATTTAACGGGAGTGCTGATGTGGCAATTAATAAAATTATTATAATTACATATTTGATTCTCAATATTTATAAATTCTATCAATTTGGTCATAATTTTAATTCAATTTAATAAATTTAATCTCCAATTAGGTGGAACACTTTATTCGATAAGCAAAAAAAAATAATCTACTCTTAGGGAGAATTAAACCAATGTCTAGAAACATCACATGGCACACACTTGAACCGCTAAGTGGCCGAAGAGAATTGAACTTGGGTCTTATGAGATTTTTGGGTGAGTTCTTACCAATGGACCAACAATTAATTCTAGCTAATGTTTTACAACATATTATATTTACCTTGTATTATAACGAAAACAATAAAATGAATCAAACCTTAATTTTTTTGGAGAATATATAAGCACCAAAATTATTTAAGCAAATTTAGTTAGTGATTTATAAATATATACATCTTAAAATATAGTTAATATAAGATTTAAAATAATACTAAATTTAATATTTTAAAATAAAATTCAATATTTATAAAAATAAATTTAATATTTTTAAAATGAATTTGAAATTTGAAAATCAATTTCACCAAATTCAGATTCTAAACTATATTTATTTTTTATATAATTAAAGAATAATTTTTTATTTTTGATATTAATTATATTGAAAATTTTAAAAATAAATATAGTTTAAAAATATAAAATCTAAATTTTATTTTATTTATTTAAAAAAACTCAATTTAATGATTATATATATAATATTGTAAATTTTAATCAAGTATAGGGTTTGAATCCCTTTACAAGTATGTTAGTTTCCTTTTTTTTTCTCTACAGTAGTTATAACAGCTTATATATAAAATTTTATAAACAATTACCAAGTGAAGGGCTTAACCTAGTGGTTATGTATGCTTTAGTGTGATACAAGTCATTGGTTCAATCCCCTTAAAAGTATATTATATTACATGCATTTTGTTTACCAATAAGGCAGTGACATGTATTATTACCTGTTTGGATACAAATTAAAATTTATTAACATGAATTAAAATTATGACCAAATTATGTTCAAATTGATAGAGTTTGTAAATATTGAGGATCAAGTATGTAATTATAGCAATTTTATTAACTGTCCGTCAACACTTTAACGGTAAGTGGATTGATTGAAATAGTTAGATAACCTAATTGACAAAATTTCAAAAATGTTAGTTAAAATGAAAAGGGGTAATAGTTTTTTACCCAAAAAAGATTATGGAAAATAATATAATTAATATTTTATTTTAAATAATTTACCTTTATATTTTTAATTAATTTATAATTATACGTTGAACCCTTTAAAATATTAAATTTTTATAATTAAATTAATAGTGATCATACTTAGTGCTTAGTGGTGCTCGTCGAGCGTAACGGACTCATCCTATCTTTTAATGACATCTTCCTTAATTATTAATTTCTCTAAAAGAAATTATAACATTTCATCGTTTTAAAAATTTTATTACCTGAACTTATTAAATAGTCTCAATAGTTAAAGGGTGTATTGTTCTGCTATAAACCTTAGGTTCGAGCAGCTTTGTTAGTAAGATATATAATGGTTTCAATAGATACTATTTAAAATAAATAAATTTATTACAACCCATTAAATAAAATCTCGAGTTTAAGCAGTTATGTTTACAATGTATATATATACATCATCAATAAATAAAATAATTCTGAATAAATACTACCTTATAATTATTTCATACTATTCAAAAGATAAACTTAGGCCGAAAATTTACAATAATTTTTTTTACCATGTTAATGTATTTTATTTTAGTATCGGTTATGTTTATAATTTAGTTAAAATCAATGTATATTTTATAAATAATATTATTCAAATTTAAATTATCTAAAGAATATATCATCGTTTATCATCATGATCATTTCTTAGGTTCTTGTGAATTTGTATTCTTCTCTAATGAAGTTCTATTCACATATTATTTAAAGCTTGAATTTTAAATTATTATATTTAAAAAATACATTTATAATAATATTTATTACAATTTAAAAAAAATGATCAACTACTTATTTGGTCACTTACTTATTATTTAATTTTGTTTTAATTACTTAACTATTATTTTTTTGAAATCATACTTATGTTATATTTATCTTTAACAACAATATTAATGTAACATTCTTTTTATTATTTTTTTTATGCTGACATAACATTATCTTACGGTGATGTATCAACGTCAATGTTAATTTTTTAAAAACGAGTTACTAAAACAAGATTAAAATATAACGTTCGATATGATTTAAAAAAATATAATATAATAATAATTAAAAATATCAGTATAATAGAAAATATATTTACTAGTTACACAAGGTTTTCTCCTTTGTGAAATCAGTCACCTAATTCTTTAAAAAAATAATTTTCTTGGAATGATCCGATGCGATACTGGCATCAAGCAAATCATAAGAATCGTCCAATCATGTTATCCACGTTTCGCTTTTTCATTCGCTGTTCACCAATAAAGTTGATGACGTCAGCTACTCCGCCCAAACCCGGAAATGGTATTTAAAGGATGAAGAAGAAGCCATCTCCATAGCCAAAAATACATCATTGGTTTTCTTCTTCTTCGGGGACTCTGTTGGGAGTGGAAGCGTCCATCCTTTTCGTCTACGACAGAAAAACCTATAAACTTAGATTTCTTATTCACATCCATATTCGTTGAATTTTATATCATACGATCATAGTTTCTATCACTTTGTATAAACTTTTTCCGTAATTTTCTGAAATTTACCTTGAATATGGATTGTGAACTAAAGAAAGATTCTCACGACGGAATTGTCGTTAAAGGCGGAAGCGACGGCGTTTTTGTCTCACATGCCTACAGGAATAAGCTCATTATCGATACCGATCCCGGGATTGGTCAGCTTCCCTTCTTTTTTTTTTTTTGGTTTTTCTCTGTATTTGGAGAAATCAGCATGTTTAGTTGCTTAAACAAGAATAATAATGAAACTGGAAATTATTTTATTTTATTTTTTCGATTTATTTTTTGTTTACCTTGTCGAAATAGAAATTAATCAGTCTTTTGATTTGGCTATATGCATAATTCTTGAACTGGTTAGATCTATATATATTATTAGATTTCTCTATCCTATTGATATATGGATGTGGTGTTGTTTGGTTAACAGATGATAGCATGGCGATCTTAATGGCATTCCAGAATCCAGAATATGAGATCCTAGGTTTGACGACTGTTTTTGGCAACCTCCATACCAAAGATGCGACTAGTAACGCCTTACTTCTTGTAAGTTCTTGTTTAAAAAATATTTTATCTGTTTTTCGAGAAATTATTTCGTGAACTCTTCTCGTCACCATATTCATGGTCTTAATCACCAAAACCACTCACTTCACCATTTTCCCTTTATGCCATACATCTTCTTCTAAGGATAAAGTGAGTGATTTTTAGTGATTGGGATCATGAATGACTTGATGAAAAGGGTTCATTTTCCAAACCGGACTGTAATTCCTGCTTTTCGTATGCATTTGGAATATGTTCATGATTTGATCCTCTTTTTGAGGTGCAAAATGCCAGTGTGAAATCGCAGGGTGTCCTGGTGTTCCCGTAGCAGAAGGCAGCCCCGAGCCTCTTAAGGTAATGCAGCCATTCTCCAAACCGGACTGTAATTCCATAGAAAATACTTCTTTTTACGTTTAAGAAATGGACCTCACTGCTATTGTTAACTTACTCAATTTCTAGTATTTGCAATTTTCTACCCATTGCCGAAATTACCATTTGTTCAACATGTGTATGATGTTTGGAACCTTTTTTCCTCTTCTTTTTCTTTTCTTGCATGGTTCTGTGTATATGTAACATGAGGCAATCACCCAGGTTATTGCAAGTTCAGATGACTCTTGAAGATTATTTTGATGCATTGTGCTTTGATATTGTTAGCCTAACCGTGGTTTCCATGGAAAAGGGTGGGAGGCCTTGTGTCGCTGACTTTATTCATGGCTCAGATGGACTTGGGAATATGTATCTACCTCAGCCGAAAACTAAGAAATCCGATAAGTCCGCCTCTGAATTTTTAGTTGAAAAGGTGTCTGAATATCCTGGTGAGGTATCTGTGCTTGCACTTGGACCACTGACCAACTTGTCACTGGTAAGTCCTTGCTACTCTCTTATCAGTTTCCTAAGTTTTGTTATTGATGATAGATTTCACAGCTTGGTGTTTAAACATCCTCTCTTTCTTTTTTATTTCTCCAGGCAATCAAAAGGGACTCTTCCTTTGTTAGCAAGGTGAAAAATATTGTTGTACTTGGTGGCTCATTCTTTGCATTAGGAAATGAGAATCCTGCTGCTGAGGCAAATGTAAGTACTAAAGGCTGCTAAATTTGTTTCTTACTACAAGGTCCCTTCTCATCATGATCATGTTCTCCCATTGATCATTACAAGGCTGAGCTGCACCCATTCTGAATTCGTTTGTCTGACTACAGATTTATGGAGACCCCGAAGCAGCTGATATCGTGTTTACATCGGGAGCAAATATTGTCATCGTCGGGATAAACATTACTACCCAAGTCCAAATGACAGGTATGAACTTAATTGCCATTTCTCTTAGCAGACAAGCTTCTTTTGCATGTTGATTCGAGGTAGTCATCGTGACAAAGATCATCATCTTTTATCTGTTAGACGATGACATCATCGAACTGAAGCAATCAAAGGGGAAGCATGCTCAGCTGCTAAGTGAGATGTGCGAATTCTACCGGAATTGGCATGTGAAATCCGAGGGTGTACATGGTAATCTTTTGCAACTGTAAACTAAATATCACTCTTTTTCTCTCCACTTTCTAAGCCTTGAGAAAACTTTTCATACCAGGGATATTCCTCCACGACCCTGTTAGTTTCGTGGCTCTGGTTCGGCCGGATCTCTTCACGTACAAGAACGGAGTCGTGAGGGTCGAGACAGAGGGCATATGCAGGGGGCATACATTGTTGGATCAAGGATTGAAAAAGTATTCAAAGACGAGCAATATACTTATTTATTATTGAATGAAATTAGAGTTGATGTTGTTGTTACTAATGTTGATGCCATGATTTGTTCGCACAGATGGAACGGAAGCAATCCATGGACCGGCTATTCCCCAGTTTCCGTTGCATGGACAGTGAATGTTGATGAAGTCCTTAATTACATCAAACAAGAGTTGATGAAACCGTGAAAAATGTTGGAATTACCACTCGAGGAGATGTCCCGAAGATTAGATCACCTTTTAATTTGATTTCTGCTAAAAGGTCTCTTCTAGTTTATTCCCTAATCATTGTTATCATATTGGCGAGTCCTTTTGTTATTTGTGAAAGAAAGAGGGGGAATTCATCATCAATATATGATGCTTATATTGGTTTATGTCATAAATAAATATTTAAAATATTTTTTTTTTATCAAAATAGGTAGATAAAGTATTCAATTTTTTCATCTAAATACTTAAAATATTCTTTAAATAATACAACATGTCAATTTTTTTTAACTTAGATGAAAAAGATTGAATAATTTAGGTATCAATTTTGACAAAAAAATGCTTGGGTAAAATACACAAATGGTCCCCCGATTATATGGTGTTACTTTGTTGAGTCCCCTACTATTGTGCGTATTTTTAATATAAGCCTAATTTAATGTAAATGTGGGTTCTTTCTGCCAATTCTTGACACATTGCAACACAATAGTTTAGTAAATGATCCTTTTTATGGAACGAGTAAACTACTAGATGGTCACCCAACGTTTAGAACCATTTTATTTTGGTAATTAAAAAAATCCTAAGTAAAATTATCATTATGACAGAAATTGTTTATCATAGTCATTAAAGCATTAAACCTTTAACGGGCTAAATCTACGAGATAATGTGTTGGAATTATTTATTTTACGAGATAACGTTCTCCCAAGATTAATTGCTGAAGTAGGGCGAATTACACAGTTGGCCGTAGGTCACCATACCTTCCGGGCGACCTACGACGTGGCAGCTTCCGACGAGGGAATGATCGTGTGCATGGGACATGCACAACCCAACTCATAGGTCGCCATGCACTCCCAGCGACCTCCTAGGTCGCCATGCACTCCGGGCGACCAAGGAGGTCGCCATGCACGCCCGGCGACCAAGCTTTTAACCCTCTGCACGCCCTGCATGTCATAGCTGGGAGATTCCTGCCCGACGACCAAGCTTTAACCCTCTGCTCCCTCATGCATGCGTTGCATCCATAGAGTGGGACGTGCAGAAATATCACATGGCCATGCAAGGAGACAAGGTCGCCGGGCGTGCATGGCGACCTCCTTGATCGCCCGGAGTGCATGGCGGCCTAGGAGGTCACTGGGAGTGCATGGCGACCTATGGGTTGGGTTGTGCACTGAAGCTGCCATGTCGTAGGTCGCCCAGAAGGCATGGCGACCTACGGCCAACACTCTGCAATTCGCCCTACTTCAGCAATTAATCTTGGGAGAACGTTATCTCGTGAAATAAATAATTCCAACACATTATCTCGTAGATTTAGCCCCTTTAACGACGTTAGCTGTAAATTATCTGGTTGGATATCTAATTTATAGGAAGGTTTTATTTAGTCATCATTTCTTTATATTAAATCACCCAACCATTAAATTTTGATTTAAGGATATCTCAAACTCCCAATTTTTTTTTAAAAAAATTTAATGTGAGTCTCGAACTATTTTTTCAGTTATTGTAGCCTTTAAATTTAGGGAAAAAACTTAATATGTCCCTTTAATCAATAATTTTCGTCGTTAACCATTACATTATTGAGATGACATTTTATAATACTAATGCGGTGATCAATAATATTGATATGACGATTCACAATGTTTCATGACATGACTGATGATATATATAGATTAACTAAATTTATTTTTTTTGGTAAATTTATATAAAAATATAACATTTTCTTAAAATTTAACCCAATTTTTATATAAAAATATTTAAATTTAAATTTATACACTCGTGTATACTAAAGTAGGGATGGGTATAACACCGAAACCGACAAATTTCGACCCTATCTGATCCTATAGAGGCTTAGCTCGATTTTAGAGTAAAAAATATATTTTGATCGATACGAAATTTTTTTAATTTTATCTTATATATTTAGAAATAATTATAATAATACCACTATATATATATTTTTAATTAAATCTCTATTTTTTTATTAAATAAAAGTAATATTTTTTTATAAATATATTATTTCGAGTCAGATTGAATTCAAATTTTATCTTAAAAATGTAAATCAGGTTCAAATCAGGTAAAAAGTATATATTTTTCAGATCAAATTCAAATTGCGTAGAAAGTATATAATTTCGATAGGGTTGGATTCACCGAAAACTCACCCAACCGGCCAACCCGACGCATCCCCATCCCTGTACTAAAGTGCCTGAATCCAAATCACTAATAAGTAACAAAATTCGTTTTAACCACCGACTCACCTCTTAAATACAAAGCCTATAACGTGCAGAGAGTCTCTTTTACCCTACAAAAGCTTAGGCATTTAGAGCCATCATCCTTCTTTCCTTTCCCTCTCGTTCTGTTTAACAGTTGGTTCGCTGCTTAATTCCGTTTTCATGGACACTCCAAACCTGCTCTGCTCCTTCTTCTTCTTCTTCTCTCTTTTCTTAGGTAACAGCAAACAACCGATAAATCTCTTTCTGCGCTTCATCATATGGGTTGGTTGGAACTGTAAGAATTTTCTAATGTCTTCCTTTCCATGTTGTAAATGAACTATACAGGTCATCAGCAACATGTTGTCGGAGGTTCAAGTGTGTTTCTCTCTGGTTTCGGACCAAAGATGATGTTTGTTTTCGGGGATTCCTACGCCGACACAGGGAACAACAAGAAAACCTTGGCAAGTTCTTGGAAAATCCCTTACGGTATCACATTTCCTGGGAAACCTGCTGGCCGCTTCTCTGACGGTCGTGTTCTCACCGATTACGTCGGTATCATTCTCTCCTTTTTACGATCGATGACGATGATGGTGTTTTTTTTCATGCTTTTGCTTTAGCTTTTGCTCTTTCTTCGGGTAAATTACATATTTAGTCACTTACTTATTCTTACAGTTATGTTTTGATCACTTATTTTTTCAAAATCATAACTAATTTTATGTTTTAGTTCTATTTTGGTCACCCGTAATTGAAAAAATTAATAGTGATGTTTACACATCACCATAAGATAATAACACAAGATAATAACACGTTGTCATTGAAAAAATAAAAAAATTATCACATCACTAATTTTGTTTATTTTTTAACGATGAATAATGATAAATCCTGAAATATTATTTTTTAAGATAGACACATATATATTAACCACACAAGTTATTTGTATGGTGTGAGCATAAATAAATTTAAATTTGTGTATACTTTAACATATGTGTACATTTTTAACTAATAATAAATGATGAAAATAAAATTAAAATATAATGTTTGATATACTTTTTAAAAATAAAAATTAACAGTGACAATAGATATATGAGTAAATACGTACTTTACCTCTCTTTCTTTTTTATACAAGTAATGGGTTTGCTTTTCTTCTTGGGTGGCGGGTTTGCTATTAGCTTTGGCTCCTTATCAATGGATGCAATGATTTATATTTTGCACCTTTAACTTTACCCTTTATTTTTATTTTTTCATTTCATTACAACTCATGACAACAAGGCCACAAGGGGCTGTCTTGGCAGCATTTTTCCCCAAGGAAATAGAGTACAGTTCACAATTTCTTTGCCAAGTTCATCAAATCTAAAAGAAACTTTGATAATTTTTCAATGTATCTAATTCATAATCCCATAAAGTCTACTATTATAGTGCTTTCCGGCCATTGCCATTACTCAGTTTTACTGGCGAATACATATCTGTTTGTCTTTTTTCAATTACCAAACAATTCACTGCCTTGTTTTTCCGATGAGCAGCCGGGTACTTGAGAGTTAAGACACCAATACCCTACAGATGGAGGAAACAACTGGCCGGAAGGGTGAAGTATGGGATGAACTTCGCTTACGGTGGAACTGGTGTGTTCGACACTTTAGTTCCTGAGCCAAATATGAGCACACAGATCGATTTCCTGCAGCAGCTTCTCAATGACTCGGTCTACTCCAAGAGGTCCCTGAAAACTTCTGTCGCACTTGTCAGCCTTGCAGGCAATGACTACTCTAATTACCTTGCCACCAACGGCTCTGCTGCGGTAATAAAAGCCCTTTGCATGCATACATACGCATACATTCATACATACATATACACCGGGAGGATCGCAAAAATTTATGTTAGGGAGACGAATTTATGAAATTCTAAGGAATGACAATCTTATAAAATTTTAGGAGTAAAAATATTTTTCAATCGAAAACATAAAAAACACAGAAATTTAATTTTTTTGGGGAAGATAACCGACAATAAAAAGACTCTTATTCTTTTTTTTAGAGCATTTTGGTATTCAACGTTTCTTTTTAGAACAAAAATATATCTACTCTATGGCATTAACAATTTGTTAACTAACAAATTTTATCTATAAAGGGTCTTTTTTGTCAAAATAAAAATTGAGGGGTCAAAATGCTCAAAAAATAAGGACCAAAGTGATTATCTAGTCAAACATTAAGAGTATATAGTCACTTGAACCTCTTAAAACAAACAAGAATTTCATAAATCCGTCCCAAACCAAAGGGAGTCAATTTAAATTTAATTTAAAATTTATGTTGTTTGTTTGACTAGATAATCATTTTAGTCTTTATTTTTTAAATCATTTTGACCTCTAATATTTTATTTTGGGGAAAAAGATTCTTATAGATGAAAATTATTAATTAACAAACTGTTAACATTATAGAGTAGATATCTTTTTACTCTAAAATTAAACATTAAAGACCAAAATGCTCACAAAAAATAATACGAGTCAAAGTGATAATCCAAGTAAATATTAGAGATCTGTTTTTGTTCAAAAATAAAATAGAGGGTTCAAAATACTCCAAAGGATAATAGTAAGGGCCAAAATGATATGAATTATCAGGGTTTTCCAGCCTTCATTGGAAGCGTAGTGAATCAACTGAAGGTGAACTTGAAACGGATTCATGACTCGGGAGTGAGGAAAATAGCCGTGAGCGCATTGCAACCATTGGGGTGCCTCCCTCGAAGCACTGCTCTCTTCGCCTTCGAACAGTGCAACGGAACTGAAAACATGCTCGTCGAACTCCATAACCAGCTCTTGGTTCAAGCAGTGAACGATCTGGACAAACAAACCAACAGCTCCTCTTTCTTCGTCCTTGACATATACAATGCCTTTTGGGACGTTTTCAATCAGAAACAAGCTCGACAAGGTGACTCCCTTTAATCTTTATCTTCTTCCTTTTTACTTGCAGAAGATGAAATACAGTTGATTTTGCAGTGAGTCCAACATTTGAGAATCCATTCGAGCCATGCTGTGCTGGAGTGAGTGCTGCATTTTCATGCGGGAGTGTAGATGAAAATGGGGTGAAGAAATACACAGTTTGCTGGAATCCCAAATTGAGATTCTTTTGGGATACAGTTCACCCTACACAAGAAGGATGGCGAGCTGTGTATTCAACTCCAGTTCTTCAAAACAATCTCAAGCAGATTTGGTAGGAATTACCATTAAATGATTTAGGGTTATGGATTTCTGATGTGTTTGCGTTTTGTTTCTTTGTTATCTGTCGAATCCCTTTGTGTTGGGCAAAAAAGTTGTATGAAATGAATGGAATAATACTCCTTCCCCACAACTAGCCTTCTTTGGTGGGATGTCTCCCATGAACTTTTATTCCTCTCGTAAATAAAATTATTGCTCGATTCGACTTGTTAAGTTCGATAAAGTTTTATTCTGACTCATGCTCGTTAAAAAAAATTATTATTCGAGTCGTTACTTTATTCATTGCTTGTTAAACTCTCTAAAATTTTTAGTTTTTTAACTATTTGTAAAATCTAATAAATTAATAATTTTTTATTAGAAAATTAATAAATTAGTCAGAATTATTAATTAGTAATTTTTTTATTTATTAGAAAATTAATAATTATTAATTAGGAATTCTTCTTTAATGGAGTAATTTTCTAAGGTAATTATTATAAAATTATAAAAAAATATTAACAAACGACTTGTAAACTTATAGAATCGAGTTGAATTTTACTCGATTTAATTCATTAAGATCATCTCAAATTGAAATCAAATTCTAATTAATCTAAATCAATTTTAAACAACTCATGAATTGTTTAGCCGATCAAAAACCCCCTAATCATGATTAATGCTGATGTGAGTTGTAAATCAAAAGTACTTTTCCTTTTGCCTTTTGCTCCCATATTATTCATTTTACAATATTGTCATGGTTTGATTGAAAAAGAGAAAAACAAAACAAAAGAAGGCCAAGGTTTTGGATTTTTTAGTTTTTTTTATTGGCATGATCCTATTGGATTGAGTGAATCAATTTTTTTAAGTTTGTGAAGTTGATAAATTGTATTTTTTATCTAAATTTTATTTAACTTTTTTAAAATTAAATTAAATATATTTATTTAAATTTATCATCAAATTTAATTGAAACATCATCATATAAATTCTTAACTTTTATATATAAATTAATCGAGTTTTTATGATGTTTAAATTAATCCGATTTTAAAAGTTAAACATGTTATATTATAAGAAAAGTTTCGTAATTTTACTTTCTTGGTTAAACATAAACTATAAGATGAAATCGTTAACACTGACTAAATAATAATAAAATAAATAAGTAAAGAATAAAAAATTATATTGTAATATTAACCAGTGCAATCACTACAGTAGGTGGTCGTCATCTAAGATTAACATGTTACCGCCCGCCGCTAGCAGAAGCTAAGCACTTGAAAAGCGCGTTAAGAAACGTTGTTTCTGTCGGCCTTTCTGTGCAACAGTCCACCAATAGCGGAAGAGAGGGTTATCATACATACAAGACTCTTCCAGTTCTTACGTAAGCTTTTTCTTACCAGTCAAGTAGTACAACAACTGTATCTTATCTTATAGCCCTTCAGTAGATAGAAAAATAATGTTAATATTATTAATAATTTAATTTTTTAAAAATATAATTTTAATATATTATTTTTGGAGTTTCTCGTGATTTTTTCGAGTCGAGTATCAAATAACTCGTTTCGGCTCGTCTCATTTACAGCCCTAGTCCTCACCATGATGCATAAGCTTATTAACCAAGTTGATGAAATCCCTTTTTACAAAAACACTCCAACCATTATCAAATGCAACATGTAAACCTTCAGTAGTGAGAGCACACACCTCAACCACGCTCGAGTCATGCACACGACATAAAACCTTTGCATGGATTGTTAGAACTAATCTCTTACTATCTCATGCAAATCATCCTACTGCTGCACTGCACCACCACCAATAGCCACTTCAAAAACATCATCAACGTTAATCTTAACAGAACCTCGTTGTAATACCCCAAAAATGCAGTTAGTAATCAAAATGAATAATGAAGGCCATGAGGCATAAGCTTATTAACCAAGTTGACGGCTTCTCTTTTTACAAAAACACTTTAACCATTATCAAGTGCAACATGTAAACCTTCAGTAGTGAGAGCACGAACCTCAACCACGCTCAAGTCATGCATGCGACGTAAAACCTTTGCACGGCTTGTTAGAACTAGTCTCTTACTATCTCATGCAAATCACCCTACTAATGCATTGCACTACCACCAATAATGTAATACCCCAAATATCAGGTCAGTGACTAATTGAAAAGATCTAAAAAGTTGGAGGATTAAATTGAATAAATGGTAAAGTATAAGAAAATGATTTAGGAAAATGTTTTTATGACCAATTAGTAAGAATGTAAGAATTAAAGGGTATTTTGGTCCTTTAGAGGGAAATGGATTTAAAATACATTTTAATTAGGGTATTTAAGAAGGGAAAAAGGGGAAAGTTGAAAAAGAAGCTAAGTATATTCTCTTCTCCTTCTTTCCGTGTGCTCGTTTTCTCTATAGCCAAAGATCATAACCAAGCTCATGAGTCAAGCAAGAAAAAGGGCAAAGATAAAGTTGTCGAATAGTTGGACATCATTGCAGCATACTAGTGAGGCTTATCAAGTGAGTGCATTTATTGTACTTGTTTGAAAGGATGAAGACTCGCGATGAGTCAACATCGAATGTTTTGTTAAATGTATGTTTTACAACATTTTGGTATATTTTCATAATGTATATAAAAATGATATTATGACTAAGTTTTAGAGTATGAACTACTATAAATGAATGGATGAATGTTAATGTTGTGCAATGGTTATCGATGTTACCAAAATAAATGAAAATGCATAACGGCGCATTATCGACATAAAAGGTGCCATACATAAAAAAATGCATAGTGGTGCATTATCGGCATAAAAGGTGTCATAAATGAAAATGCATAACGGTGCATTATTGGCATAAAATGTGTCATAAAGGGAAATGCATAACGGTGCATTATCGGCATAAAAGGTGCCACTAATGAAAATGCATAACGGTGCATTATTGGCATAAAAGGTGTCACTCATGGTATTCATAAAAGGTGAATGACCATTTTGGCACTTTGGTGCAATGCATGTACTTTACATTATCATTTAACCTATATTGGGAAAAATAAAGTATAATTGGGAACAAAATACAGAAAAATAAGTATGTTAGGCATACTAAGAATAATTTTGATGACTATATGAAAGAAACCTGAGTTTAATTGAGATGATTAACTGATTTTTATGAAGTATACGAATTAGTTCGTATTTCAATAGCTATGATATGATTATGTATGAATTTCAATTCAATTACATTATTATGCCTCACAAAGTAAATACTTAATGTGTGTTGATTTCACGCGTAGGGAAAAGCAAAGACTAGCAGAGTAAGGAGTGTGTTGAACTATGTTTTGATATAACAATTTAAGGCAAAATGGTTTTTGGACTTGAATTGAATTTACAAAATGTTTTTGGACTTAATTGAATTTATTCAAAGTTTTAAAAGGTTTCAAAAATAATTCAAAGTCCATTAAAATCATATTTGAGCCAAAATGCTAAAGGGTGTCAAAGTGCATCCATGCATCCCTGCAATGCATCCATGCACCTGCACTAGTGCATCAATGCATCATGCAGTGCATCCATGCACTCAAACACCGAATGCAATTAGTGCATCGATGCATCTTTCTATGCATCGATGCATCCTGCCATGCATCCATGCATCAAGGCTGCAACGGCTAGTAACGCTAGTTTATTTGAATTTAATGAAGGGGTATCGATGCACCATGATAGTGCACCGATGCACCATGTTATGGGCAGCCTTTTTGAGTAGAAAAATCATCCCCAAACGGCTCCAAAACATCCCCAACGGCTATATACAACATCAAACACATTCCAAGCTATAAATACAAGCTAAGGACACTTGAAGAAAAAAGAGAACAACTATCCAAGCAATCAAACATAAGAGAAGAGTTTTTCAATCTTATTTCATCATTCTCTTGTAAATATTTTGTTCTTGTGAGCTCAATCTTGTAAACACCTACCTTAGAGAGGTTTTCTTGTTTACTTATTTTATCCTTTTGTAAAGGGGAAATGTTCTAGCTTATCCCGTGTAAAAGCTAGGGAAAGGTTCTAGTTTAGCCCGGAAAAACTAGGGAGTTGTAAGGTTATCTCTTTGTCCTCAAAAGAAAGAACAAATTAGTGAATTTGTTGGAAAATCCTTGGTGAGGAGCTAAGGTAGTGGACGTAGACTTTGGTTTAGAAACTCGTTAAGAAGGTTTAACCACCTTGAGACGATCCTCGAAGAAGCTCTACCAATTCCCGATACAACCAACAAAGAAATGACTTTTTCCTCCGGTGCTTATTATCTTGAAGAATATCCTATAATAGATTCACAACCGGTCAACAAGCCACCCTTCTTCAATGGAGCAAATTATACACATTGGAAGAATAAGATGATGTACTTTATTCAATCCTACAATCTAGGAGCTTGGAACTCAATCATGGACGGTTACTCCTCTTCACCCGGCAAGTACAACGATTGGAGTAGAGAAGAGCAGAAAAATTTCCAGCTTAACTCTAAGGCTATACATATTCCATTATGTGCTTTAGGCCCAAATGAATATGGAAGAATCTCATCTTGTTCCAGTGCCAAAGAGATTTTGGATAAGCTCCAAGTCACTCATGAAGGAACCGACGAAGTGAGGGAATCAAACAAAAGTCTTCTCAACCATAGCTACAAGAACTTCAAGCTGAAACCCGATTAAGACATCAAAGCTATGACGGATAGATTTTCTGTGATTGTCAACGGTCTCAAGGGATATGGATAAGTAATCCCTAATGAGAAACTTATGAGGAAGATGATCTACTCTCTTCCAAAGGAGTGGCAATCGAAGAAGACGACCATTATCGAAGCAAGAAACTTAAAGTCTCTCACTCTCAACGAGCTAATTGGTTCCCTTTTCACTCATGAGATGATGGTGAAGGAAGATGAAGAAAGGGAAGAGAAGAAAAACAAGAAAAACAAGAAGGATGAGGTAGGCATTGCCTTCAAATCCACCAATGAAAGCTATCAAGATTCAAGTGATGAGGTGGATGAAGACGATGATGAACAAGAAGAAGAGATGGTCAAGCTCTTGAAGGAACTCAAGAGATTCATGATTTCCAAGGAAGTGAAACATGAATCAACCAAAAAGAAGAGTCCCTCGATATGTTTCAATTGTCAAAGAAAGGGGCATGTCAAGTATGAATGTAATCTTCTAAAGAAAAAGGGGAAAAAGGCATTTGTTGCATCTTGGAGTGATGAAGATGATTCAAATGATGAAGATGAAGT